CGCAAGCACCAAAATCTGTACGCAAACGCTTTGGCTCCCTCCTGTATCCACTACTACTGTCACTTTGTGGAGTGGATTATGAGAACAAGCTTCCACCAGTATGGAAGAAGTTGGCGGAATCAGGGAAACAAGAGAGACAAGTGCTGGAGCAGGAACTTGCCAGCCTTGAGCAGGAACTTGGGTCCCCATCACGACCACTAGCAACACCGGATCTCACTATGAAGGTCATAAGTCTTATGTGGGGCGGGAGAAACTATGAAGATCTGACCCAAGGAATTCATGTCTTCTCCATTGTTGTCCCCGAGTACAACAATGCCAATGGTGATGCCTCACAAGATGCACAAGAGAGATCCGATGCCTGGGACCTCGTCAACGATGGTGGCACCACCACTCTCCAAGATGTTGAGAAGGTAAAGAAAACAAAGGTAGTAATCCCTGCCGGTTTTGTCGAAGGACACGCACAGCTCAATAGCATGGGCCTGCTGTGGGTCCTACTACTGGGACGAACACATCCCTTTGTGGCCTCCTACAAGCGCCTTATGGACCTGCTGAATGGCCGGTTCAGCCAATTCCATGTCCTCTTCACCAACGTGGACCAAGCAAGATCGGCAACAGAGCCACCAAGCATGCTCCTCTTCCTTCGCAAGGTGCAGATCCTCACCACCAATAATAATAATAACTGAGACATTAATCGTTAGGATGCTACTCTATGGGCATTCGATTGCCGGTGAAATATTTGGCTGTAAAGGTCAAGTACTGTGGAGCGGTGAGTCAACAACGAGTTTGAGCCATGGGAGGCATCTGTACCTAAACAGAAGTTGCTCAAGTCATGTCACTAAGAATGACTTCTCCCGCGGGGTGAATTTGGGGCACTTATTGTCCCACGAACGTTGGGAAGCGGTCAGGAGGGGGGAGCAGAAAAGATAGTCCGGAGGCTACGGCGTTGAGCCCGCAGAGAGCGACGATAGGCCTTGCGCTCCTGTCGAAGTAGCTTCAGCCACTCTTCCTTGTCCACCAGTGACTTACGGAGGACACTGTGACGGCATGTCAGCATGTGTCTAATATCCGGAGGTAAATCGGCTGAACCCATATCAAACTGAGAGTAAATCCCCTCTGTTGGGATATGACGAAATATGAGTTTTTACGTTCCAAACGAAACTATTCAAGTACGAGGTTTTCGACACGTGCGATCGGACTTTGATCGTGCGCGATGTCGGGATTCGACGCAAGTATGCCGGACG